CACACACACACAATGATTATTATTATTATAATTAACTTTTCCACGCACGATAAATCCTTGACACTTAAAAAATAATCGATTATAAATTTCTACCCGTTTGTTGCTTGTGGTTGAAAACGAACCCTCGTCATTATTATTATTATTAATAATTTTTTTTTTTGTTCAGAAAATAAAATGTCGCAAAGTCGGTCGTCTTAATTATTTTTAAAACGACCGACTTTTCTTTAAATTTCATTGAAGATGTCTCGGACCGAAATTCCTGACATTCCTCCTACGAATGCTTCCCTTGTGACCGCAAAGAAGTCTTTTAAAAGCGTGTCGGAATTCCGGACTGAATATAGTGTATATAATTGGATTAAGAGTAGAATTAAAATATCCCAACCATAAAAAGAATGATATCATGTAGGGATTAAAATCGCAAGTTTTACACAGAGGAAGTAATATGGCCAATATGAAAAAGGGAAGCCAACACATGACAAAAGCTCCGGTTATAATGGCGAGAGTTTTTGCTGCTTTTCTTTCACGTTTCGAATCCGCGGCTTCGCGCACTCTTGTTTTTATCGGTATGGGATACGTAACTGTCTGCTGATAAGAACTCATGTAATCGGTTGTTGGAAGATCAGGTTCGACTCCATTGCCGACGGGTTGTTTTTCCGGCGACGTGTTCGTCGACGACACGGTCGTGAACGCCGTCGTCGTTTCTGATATTGTCGGAAGTGGTCGACCTATGACTGCAACAACTGCTGCTGCCATACCACCACTACCACCAGCTGCTCCTAGCAAAATTTTTACGATTAAATACGAAAAAAATTCTTTTATTTATTTTATATTAAAAAAAAAAAAATCATACCAGCGACGACTCCTCCACCTGATGGATTTTTCAACTGGACACCACCGACGGCATTTTGATTTCCTCTCCTTCGTATTCTTTTCCTCGCCGTTTGAAATATTCTCCAGTATAAAATTAATATAACGAATAGGGGGACGTAAAAACTGGAAGCCGTTGCAAATATTTGATACCCGATATCTTGACTCACGAGACACGTCTAAACAAACAAACAAACAACAAATTATTTATTAATAATAATAATGATAAATAAAAACATCTGACTTTTATTTCCAGACTTTCACGGGGAGGAAGGGAGAGGGGAGGGGAAAGGGAGGGGATTATTATTTTCCAGAGACTAAAATCACATTTTCAACATAATTTTTTTTTTTTTTTTGAGTATTTTCAACGCATAAAAATTGTTTACATAAAAAATTATGTTTACTTTTTTATTATAAAAATTGAAGGAAAGTAAAAAAAAAAAAAATCCATAAGATGGCTTTTCCATAGAAAAAAAAAAAAAACAAACAACGTAACGTAATAATAATAATAATAATGAATATTAAAACAAAAAATAAAATTTTGTAAACATGGATGAATATACATATTCAAACAACTTAATAAAAAAAAAATACTTAAGTACCTTTTTTTTTTAGCTTTTCCAGGAGAACAGACAAAAAATAAATTTTCTCCAGGAGAAAAATAAATTTCATCATTCGATAAAGTATTATAATTAAAAAGTTTTAAAAAAAATCCGTTAAAAGACAACCGTTTGTTTTCCCCCTCCTCTACCCCACCAATAAAAAAAAAAATTTAAATTGTTTATTTAAAATGAAAATGAAAATAAAAATGGCGGCGCGAATTACGTACGGATTTTAAAAATAATAAAAATTTATATAAAATATATACATATTTTTTTTTTTTTATTAGAATGATTGAAATTCTTTCTAGAAAATTCTTCTTTTACTGCTGACGACACATTTGTCAGGAGTAAAACCACTTCGAGACAGGAAATTAATGTTTATCATTCGAACCGTTACGAACTGATGTTGATTAATGTTTTTAACATTGTTAAAATACAACTATTCGTTCAATATAATAATAATAATAATAATAATAATTTCTAAAAAGGTTTTTTTCCCACTTTTCCAATGTTTAACTTTTTGTTCACGTGCTTGTACCCCCGATAATAATAATAATAATAATAACTGAATTTTAATAA